CCAAAGTTGGCAACCCTGATGATAGGTTACTTTAATAACTTTAGGAATTCATAGTGCTTTTTAAAAAGACTGTAGCTAGCGTATTAAGCTTAGCTAAATGACTTTGTTGAAAAGTAAAGATTTAGTTCATTTGTTTTAAAATGAGAAACAATAGTAGTAGAGGTAGTGGGAAGCTAGTTAGCAGCTAACAAGCTAACCTATACATTGGAGCAGATTAATCCATGTTTACACTTCTGCACTTGTAGTTCTGCTTTTAAATGGCTAGAAAATGAGATACCATACTCCAAACTGTATATATATAATAAATACGGTTCTTTATACAGCTTCATGTAAACTGCTAAACTGGACAATTCCTGGGCCTACTTCAAATTGTTTAGGCACTAAGTACACTTGCTGTTTGGGGTATGGGCAACGCAAACGGTCATTACCTTTAGTATGACACAGACCACACAGACAAAAACTAGATAAGAGAAAAACAGCCAGTATATATATTTAAAAACAACAATCATCTCACCTGTAAAGTACCCTTCAAACTCTTCACTTCTGTCAGTAGATGATTCAGTATCCCTGGGTGAAGGATACAGAAATGTCAGAAGACTTCACATGCATATCAAATACATATTAAAAATGTAAAAGAAATGGATTTGCCCTTCTCAAAGTAGGGAAATGTTAAGCCACCAATGAAATGGCAAGTTTTATTACTCAAACTGAAATTCTGCAGTCTATACTTTTTAAGGAGTATATAAAATATACTGTATAAATCTTACCTGCTGTGTTCGTGGCCCCCTCCTGACTGGCAGTGATACCCAGTGTCGTCTTACACTCCCTCAACAGCTTCTCTAGCTTCTCTCCCTGGCTGTCCACAGGCTCCTGAGCGGGCAGTAAAGACTGACTCGGACCACTGTCTCTTTCCCTCCAGTTAGAGGAGAGGCCCCCCACAGGTGAGGCACTACACTGAGAGGAGGTGCTCTTTGTGGGGCTGATGGCAACAGTCTTCGAGACCGGAGGGCGAGTCGTTGAGGTAGGAGGACCCCCATTCCTCCCCAAAGCAGCTTGTCCTCTACCCACAGTACTTCCTGACTTGTTGTGCAGCGGGCTAAATCCAGGGCCAATGGTAGAGCTGTTAGAGCCGACTGGTGGATGAGGCTTCCAATCAGGAGGTGGTCCTGATGATGGTGCTTTCTTCCCACTGGGTGTGAGGACTGGGATTGGAGGTGGAGATGAAACTGGGGCTGAAGGGGAAGGTTGAGGTGAAGCAGGGAGGAGTTGGGGGATACCAGGGACGAAATCTGGAGCATCACTCAGTGGAGATGCCGGAGGAGTGTGGAAACTGTCACCAGGGGCCCCTGAAGAAGAAAAACAACTGCATTTGTATATGAAATAACAATGTTACTTGTTCGAGTGCAGTGGGGGGCTTTAAAGTTATGAATAATTGTGAGACACACAATAAAAAAAGAACTGAGTCAACTGAGGAACTGAATCATGAACAGAAGGAATGGGAAAAATCCGTTCAGTGGTAACTAGTCTGGCATGTTGACACTGAAAACACCATTCAGTGAGAGGACCAGACCAGAAAACATCCAGGCCATGCCCCTGAAGATGAATGCTTGAATACAGACATTCCTCTTGGACTGCTCATCCACAATGGTGTAAGACACTCATTCTCCATATTCAGGAACACACATACAAAGGACAAATGTTGCCCATCCATAGAGCAATTTGCAGCAGTCAGGCGCAAATAAGTTTCCAAACTCTTTTACTTTTTGGCTCAGCACTCCTTGTCCGTAACAGCATGCCTCCAATAATAGCTTAAGATGCTATGGGAACCACTACGTGTCTCCTTCATTTATTTTCTCCTTTTCCTTGTTTGGACAAAAGCTTCACTGCAAGCAAAAGTTATGTTTTTTCCTTACATGCTGTACGAGCAGCAGTCAACATACCTATGCACCACCTACTGAAGGGCCAAATCCCTTGCAAAGAATGACAGGATTATCTGATAACTTTCTCATGCCACTCCTGCGTTTTATTTCTTCATTCCACACCTTAATGTGATCGTCCAACCATGCACACGAGTGGCAGGTTGACTGAATGAGCGGTTGTGTGTGTGTGCGTCCATTGAGGTGTGTTTGTGTCACATAGCATTAAGCTTCCTATGATTAATCCGATGCCCTTGTGCTGAGCCGGGGAATTCTGCTGATTCATCACAGCTGGCCCGGCAGGGCCAGAACGAATCACATAGGGACGCGAGGAGAATGACCACTCACTGTGCAACACACAAGAGGGCTGCCAAGAATCCTGCTGCTGACACACACACACACACACACACACACACACACACACACACACACACACACACACACACACACACACACACACACACACACACACACACACACACACACACACACACACACACACACACACACACACACACACACACACACACACACACACACACACACACACACACACACACACACACACACACACACACACACACACACACACACACCACACCACACACCTCCTTTTGTTGCCTTCAATTTCCTGATTGCCCCTTATCCACCCCTCTTTCCTCCAGTCTCTTCCTGTATTTCTCTACGTTTTCGCTGCACCATCTTCATTCTACTACATGTATCAGAGCCTCAAGGTGTGCTGGCTGTATTCTCAAAGAATGTCAAAACATAAGGCCAACACACACACACACACATTGCCAGTCGTCTGTGTCTACTGCCAAACATTAGAAATCCATTTCAGCATGCAGAGACAGATCAAAGGAGAGTCAAAGGAATAGAGCTAGTTTGTGTGCGTGTGTATGTGTATGTGTGTGTGTGTTATCCTACCTGTGGGTCCATGGCCATCCTTGCTGGAAAAGTTACCCATACTAAGTAGTGGGGGCCACTGGTGGGGCCCTGCAGGTGCTTGATGCTCTTTAACTTAGCCCAGACCAAGGTGGCACTGTGGACACACACACACACACACACACACACACACACACACCACACACACACACACACACACACACACACACACACACACACACACACACACACACACACACACACACACACACACACCACACACACACACACACACACACACACACACACACCCACACACACACACACACACACACACACACACACACACACACACACACACACACACACACACACACACACACACACACACACACACACACACACACACACACACACACACACACACACACACACACACACACACACACACACACACACACACACACACACACAATGAAGTCATGTAGTGTTATCCAGCTGATGTATTATCCAGTTTTGAACAGAACCAAACTTAAAGCACTTTATGTTCATGATAGACCATGTGACAAACAAAGCGGTCATATACATCTTCATAATGAACTAAATGCACCAAACCCGACATTCTACAATAAGGGCAGTCCAAACAACACACAATAATTTTAATTTCGCGGAACTTATTTGAGCAAAACCTATATTTATATATAAAATATAATTATATTCTGACTAACGCCATTGATTTGACATATATTTCCGATATTTCCACATAAACCCGATGTGCATCAAATAATTTGAAAACGCGTTTACAAAAGTAACTTTACTTTTCGCCCACTGCGTTAAAACCGACAGTTGTATTCTTAAAAGCAAAACAAAGCGGATACAAACACTGTAGAGTGGATAAATAACTCCCAGATACCTTTTGTTTGGAGTTTGGTAAACTCTTCTTCTCCACGCTCTGCTCCTCTCAGCGCCCTCAGCCAAGCGCTCTGCCCTGCTGTGTCCTCGCGGAGGGGGAACGGTAACGGCAGAAAAACAAATGAAACTGCATTTCCTCCGAGCAAAGGTCAATCCGAGCTACATGTTGCTGCATGAAACATCTTGATAAGAACATGAAGCGTGATTTAAATCCGAACATCCAACCAAAGAGCGGAAAACAAACTCTGGACACATCGATGAGCGTTGGTGCCGATAATTCCCGTATGTGCCCACTAGAGGGCACCGGCAGGCCATGTTAGGAAGAACCTGTTGCCTTTGGGATTTGGGGTGGGCGCCCTTCCTCATTTATGTCTGACCTAATATTAAGCTGACTCTCACAGACTGGTGGTGACCCACTGACCCACAGCTCAACAATAAAGCTTTTATTTGTACTGGATTTAATGTGTTGGCTTCCCCATAACACCAATTGTGTTCATGCAGTTGTGATTGCTTCGAACTCCCTATGCTCGTCATGAATGACAACACTTGCTGATTACCTTTTATTAGTGCATTAATGTTACTATTTTAGTTGCATGGGATAAAACTGGAACATTTTATTGAGTTGATTGCCATTGTGCTATTGGCCTGCTGCCTGAAACTCTGCTCTGCTGCATTCCAGATTGAGTTATGACTTGTAGATTTGATTAGATGTTACTCATTATGAAGTAATAGTAAATGAATCTGCTAGGCCTACATATTTTATGCTTATGGTGTAACCTCAAATCATGATTCCATTGCAGGTTACTTGAATACATCTGGTTGGAGCAGGTATCATGTTTGACACAAACAAAATAGATGAATAAATACAAGCACATATATTTGCACATTGTGTACAGTACACTATGAGGGCTGAACTGCACTTTGGATAAACCACTGATTAAGGTAATGATTTAACCTTTTAAACTCCAGAACATCTTCCATATCAGTTATTCTAAAACAATGTAGCTCACTATAAGATCATTGTGATAACTCCAAGTACAATAATGAGAAATGCCTTACCCATCATGACAAAGATAGCTAGTCATTTAAAACCTGCGATTTCTATTGTAAGTTTGAAACTTCTAGCTAAATTAATCAGTATCCAATGTCATTAAGCCTAATTAGAGCAAACAGTGTGAATCTTACTTTGACTGAAAACACAATTATTTATTTGTGCGAAAATCACAGCCTAACTCACAACACTGTTGAAAGACAATGTGACCCAGAGGTCTGACTAAGTGCAACATGTTTGCCAAATGCTTTTATTTCATCAAACTCTTCCAAAATCTTTTCATTACATATAAATCACACTACTAACGGAACAATTCTCGCCTTTATTGGGCACAGCTGAATTTTAATTTGCAGACCTTTCCAGACTGAAATAAATGAGCACTGATGTGACAGACACCCCACAAGCTAACAGATTAATTGTATTGTATTCCAAAAGCAAACACATTTTCAGATATTCCTTCTTTTTTTTTTGTCAGTGCATTGTATTGGCAGTGCTCCCTCATTCGCTGCACAATGCTTAGTGAAACGGGACATTTGCTGCAGTGAGGCGACATGCACTCCCTCACACTCTGATTGAGATCAATAGGTTTTCACAGTGCTCTGTGCTCACTGTGCACCACTGCAGTATATAAAGAGAATCAACCAGAAGCAGCCAGGTGCATTACAAAGCCTCCAATGCCTGAAAAGAACCATCAAATGCAGTTTGTGCCGGCGTCCCAGATACTTTCAGTTTTGGTTTAAAGAACAGGTCAAGATTAATGGAGTTATACAGCACATCTATCTGAATCTGTCTGTCATAAAAGTCCCAATTTACCCTGCATTTTTACTTCAGGTGTATATGGTATGAGTATCCTGTTGTTTTGAGACCATCACAATCCCATTATGAAATGGTCAGTTTCTGTCCAGAGCAAGGTGACCAATTGTTCATTCGGTGTCTGATGCCAGTTGGAGCCATTAGCCTCCTCTAGTAAGTGGCTTACAACCATTTTGTTAGTGACCTACTGTGCTAAGTTTCTGGAGGGCCACTATTGGGGCTCTAAAAGCTCCCAACCTGCCACAACTAGCCGCTGGTCAATTTGGCAGGCGGGCAAGGATGGCTTTTAAACAATGGAACATTGGATTGCAGGGCCTGGCTGACCTCTAAGGGATGAAACACTTAACTTAAATCACCAAAACAAAACAAATCACCATCCTCCTTATTCGCGATTTCCAGAATCCTTCTTAAAAAATGAAACTCTCCCTTTGAAAACTTCGCACTGACATCCCCAGCATAACAAACACAAAATCTACATGGGGTAGATTTTCAAATATTCAAATTCAAGATAATGACAGTTTGACCCTGTGCTCTCCATAAGGCACAGCACGCATTCTCAACCACACTCAGCGTCACGCCAAATCTCAAGTGCCCTTTGCACTACTTCAATTTTGGTGTTAACACAAATCCTATAATAAATACAGCTACGTATGGCAATGAGAAGAATGGTGGACGCTGCAGGGGGAATGGTACAAAGTTAGGACACACAGGGACTGTCTGCCTCTCACGGGTCATTGTCTCTAATTCCAGATTAGGTGAAGGAGTATGTGTGCCAGGAATGATTTTCCACCTGGGTTAATCCCTGGAGAGAACACAGGCTTATCCAGGAGGAATCCTACTGTAGTGCATTGCCTGCCTGCCATCCGCAAGTAAATAAAGTCTCATAATCCAGTAAGGTGTATTTGTGCTGTTGTGAAAGTAATGTTTACATGACAGACTCAGGTATCTCAAATAACTATTTTCAATCCACAAAACTGTGCATCCACTCTTCTAGTCTCAATCCACCCTGACCAAACCATTGGGGGGGGATTTCATTTTTCGGAACACAGGAAATCGCTCATTCATGTCCAACACAGCGTCTTATGATTGACAGCCCATGGCCAGAACGCGCCAACAAAAGCTGAGGCCTGTTGATGGATGGCACCTGCTTCTCCTCAGAAGAAATAAGTGAAAGACTTAGGCATAGATGGGGTGCCCAAGCACTTACACATGGCTCTCTGCCTGGGGAGTGAAGGGTGGGTGGGTGGGGGTGGGGGGGGACACATAGATAGAGTTGCCAACCATCTGTGTACAGAGGGCACTGCCAAGCAACAGACTATTTTTACACCAAGCCTCAATAAGAAACACAATGTCTTCAAATTAAACATGGTGGCTTCTTCAAGCTACATTCAGTTTTTGGGAAGTTCCAGCATCATTACATACGCGTTCATATTGCTTCATGCCCTCTCAGTGCATTAAAGACTCTAATATTAGTGAGTAATTGATACCATCAAATAGCATGTCAACTATTTCTATATTTTGTGTTACAGAATTCATCATGACTAGAAGAGGTTCAACTTTCCGCAAACATCACGGTTGAGGTCAGGCTAGTATCGAAGTTTGCACTTTGTCAGAGAGCACATGGGCCACACTTGGGGCCAGCATAGCTACAATCTTTCATCGTGCTTAAGTGTAGTTACTGGAGCTCAACCTATGACGTTGGTTATTCTATGAAACCTAGCAAGCAAAGGTTATTATTTCAAGAAGACTTTCTGTCCCACAAAGTTGGGAGGTGGGATCTCCTGGCAGGCACCGCCCCTGCGATTGACGTCCAGGAGGGGGATCCTATTGCCCACCATGCTGGCATCAGTGTGGGTACCAACCCACTGCAGCACTCTGGAGGAGGGCCGGTGGTAGAGGGCCAACTGCCTGGCGCTGTAGCCGCACAAGCCGATCCCCACAGCCCCCAGCAGCATCGCCATGCCCGGCATGGACCTCTCAGCGGGGGGTGCCACAGCGACATTATGATAGGCCTGGGTCTGAAAGAGGAGAAAATAGAGGGTGAAATATGATCAGAAGAATGTTGGATTTCTTTGGTATTTTATAATATGAAAGACGAGATCAAAGCAGTTCAGAAATAACATTACTCCTTTTCTAACAATGGCCAGAGAGTTATGATTCGGCATGGATTCAGATCAATGTAAGGCTTATAAAGCAAGGAGGACAACATGCCCGCCAACATTTCTGGGCATAAAATAACTGGGTTCACCTCAGCTCCCTGTCTCATCCAACCCCTACATTAATCCCACAGAGAATAAAAACTCATCTCTTCCCATTTACCAAATTGCGGTCTGTTTCTTTTGACAAACAAATAGTTTGTCTATTTTGCGACATGGGCAATTTCTTCAGTGGTCCCTTGATAATTATGAAGAGCAAATGATAGAAACCTCATTTAGTTTCAAATGAAGCTGTGTCATAGACAGTTAAAAAGCCAGTCATGGGGCTCGCTCATCCGGTTATACCATTCCCAATTACAATGCAATGGCCTGTCACCAGCTAGGATTTCTCCATTGTTTGTGAAAAAACACCACAAAAAGGTGATTGTGTTTAGTGAGAAAAAACAAACGCATACTGGAACAGAAGCCTGGAAGTAACCCGTATTTGTGGATGATGGTTATATGATATGAAAGTAATGCATTTCATCATCTTGTCACAACAATCTGTTGAGACACTCGACTGAAAGAATTGCTGCATAATGGCAACATAAGGCTTAGCGAAACCTACTTACTGTATGCTCTGTCTCCGTCTATAAACTCCTAAATGTGCCCATAAAACCAGCACCTTGAATTCACTTCATTACATCAATGGCTGCTCTCAGAACTGTCAAAGTTATTTCATCTTCCCCCTCCTTCTACTCCTCAAGGGCCATTAGAGTCAGAAAACGCCAAGCACCGTGTAAAATCAAAACTCTTAAATCAAAACAAGTTGCTTGGTGCAGAAACACTGAAAAAAAGTGCATCCACTTTGCTTCTTAGATCATTGGCAAGCTACTACTGACTCAACACTTTATGTGACTGCTATCAGGCAATAGAGAAACCTTAAGTGTCACTACAGTGCATCTAAGAGTACAAAAATCACAGCACATCAAAACATCCCGTGGGCGGCTATAGTATCTACTTGATCTTATTCCCCTTTATGACAAAGTTGCATTGAGAGATTCAAAGCAGTTTCAATTTATCTTATGAATAACACTGCTCAAACTCACCTGCAGCAGCCGGATGTAGCCCGGAGTCAATCTGGGGACTCTGAAAAACATTTTGGAGCTTTCCACGATTGTTTTCCTGTCAAATCAGAAATGAGTTGAAAGGGCAGAAAACACTTGGCTCTCTCTTTCTCTGTCAAGTTCCTCTTCCTGGACTCCCAGGACAGGAATCCCACGTACAGTGGGTCTGTCCGGGTGTGTGTGGACACTTCAACCTGTGCTCAGTTATCTGATGCAGGACAGGCTGCTCAGCCCTTATAACGTCTCCTTCCTGTTTTTGCATAACAGGCAGTCTCCACGTGGTGTGTCTAAGGGGATTACAGAAGCTGGCATAAAGAGACAAAGACGCTTGTAAACAGAGGGAAGGTTGAAAGGAGTGCTGCCAAATATAAAGTACACCAACCTTTAGTGTAATCATCCTGACATCATGTTATACATTATTCTGTCTAGAACTGATTTACTATTAAGCAATCAGTAATACAAATTGGTGTTAGTATTCAGATGCACTTATACATTTGCTGTATTGATAAATTGATCATTGATGATTATTAATACCTTCAAGATTTTGATTATTTCAGCCCCCACCATTCATATAGGTGTGTATTAAATATGTATGGACAGTCAGAGTAGTGTTAATGTAAGCACTTATAGGGGGATGACACTGTATATTCGGCCAATTTCAATGTTTTTAAATATTTTTCAGCATTTTGATGAATTATTCCCTCCTTATTTCTGTAAGTTTGATTCAGATTCTGATGACTTTATCGGCCATTAGATTTGCATTAACATTAAATGTGTCTTTTGCACTGGCCTATTAGACAACATACACAACATGAATGCATCTTAAAAACATAATGGGACCAAATGGCAGTAATAAAAGTGCTGAGTGTTCATTCACTGGTGTGTGTATGTGCGGGTGGAGGGTGCAGGCGATTTCTAAGGGGCCGCTCTTATTGAAAATGGTCACAGCTGATGGAATAAAGGATTTCTTGTAATTGTTCTTCCTGGCCATTGGGACTTCTAGTCTGCGGCCTGATGGCTGCAACTGAAGTGCTGAGTCCGAGAAATGGCTGGAGCTCTTGTAGATCTCATTGTTGACATGAAAACAAAGTGGGAAATGATGAATGAGGTGTTGACTAATTCAGCTACATTAGCATCAAACATAACTGATTTCTGACTTCAGCACTTCCTTTAAGTGCTTTACACAGGACACCCAAGTCATCTGAAGTGAGAGCCACTCGAACAATTTTGAATCTTCAGAGTGAGTCGATTTTAATGTTTCTTTCTGGCTTTCTAAGGCCATGTCAGCAATTTTTTAGAGCTTTAATATCATCCCTGCCCCAGGGGTCGTGGTCTCAGACTGAGGACTTATAATGAGGTAGCTGTGCTGATAACTTCTCTCTACAGTGAGAGCAGCCAACAATAACCTTCCTCTCATCTCTGGTAATAGGACCCAATTCGGCCTCCCAGCTCATGCACCCATGAATACTCCCAAACTCTGGCATTAATACTGCAAAGTCATGATGTCACTGAAACTTTTGATTCCCTCTGGAGATTTTAAGTAATATAGGAGGGAATTCAAGGCCTTTATAGGAAAAGGCAATGATGGGAGTCGGGAATACATGGACCATTAATTTTCGTCTTTATATTATGATGTTACATAAGCATATCAAGCGATCTGCTTTTTGCCCTTATTGTCTCCTCTGGCTAATGTCTGCTAAACGAGTCCTTAGCGTCCATCAGACAGCACCTGGTGAGTCCATCGCTAATTTTTTTCCTGTACTGTATAACCTGCTGGTGCATCCCAACAAACAACAGAGCTGGTGTGGCAGACAAGTCTCTCAGGTCATCACAATGCCACCCCACAGGTGAGATCATTCTCTGCCCTTTTGTTGAACTTGCCTCCTGACTTTCAGAAATGAGTAAATATTCTAGAAATAGATTACCTGAGCTGTGGACGGGTCTGTTGATGCGGAAGGTTTAGCTACTGACACCACGGGTGGTACTGGTTCCCGAGGTCAATCAATTACAGACCAGACTACCAATCTACCTCTGTGCTCTGGTAAAATTAAACTAAAGTAGGACGCAGGACATTTTAACGCAAGCTGTACCTCTTTTTTACACTATAACTGGACAATGTCTGTTATCTGTGCACCTGCTTAAAGTGTCTATTTTTTATTCATACAAATGTCTCACTGAGTCTACCTGTGTAAATAAAGGATTAGACAAAGACTGTGTTTCTATATTGAGCTTACAGTTAGATAAGGTCAACAAGTAGGTGTTGGGATCAAGTAATGGGACTAATGATCCTTAAGTATCATCAGTTTTGCCTCCCTGAAGACCATTAATTAACCATGTAAGGTAAGTGAAACAGCAGGTTTGAAAAGGCATGAGGAATAACATCTCCAGACATCGATTTGCGGGGAGTGTAGTGCAGATAAATGACAAGCTATTAGGGATAATAGGAGGGGTTTAAATGTCATAAAATCTGTGAGCGTCGGCTGACATTTTCTTCTTCTCTGGCGATTAGAAGGTCGGGTGAGGAAGAAGGATGTTAGGTTACTACGAGTTAAATGTTCGATCACTTTGAACTACATAAGAAAACTACCTTAACAAACAAGCAGTAAGTAACTTACTTAAGGTTGGCCTTAGTTTTGCCCAGCTCAGGAATAATGGCTTTGTTTTGCCCGAAAAAGGCACAGAACTGGATTAGAAAAAGGCATAGAATAAATGGAAAAAAATATTTTATAACAAAATATATTATGCAGCATCACCACATTGGAAATAATCCTTCAGTATAGTCTCTTTTCAGTGTGATTTACATCCTCCTGGGTGCATCAGGAGAGAGCTCTGTCTTCTTGTCTCCTTGCATAGGAAGAATGTCTGTGATCCAGTATTGGAACAGTGCAGCGACTGCAGCGGTTTCCACTAAAACACAAAAGAGACAAAGAGCAACATTTCAGTTACAGTTGACAACACATTACCAGAGGAACACTTAGTGTTTTCTACAGAGAGACTTGCTGTTGTATCTGCAGCATAATAAATCCAATTCCCCAGCCAGTGTTCAAAGGTACTTCCTAAATCTCTAAATGCAGACATTCAACCCAACACGTCCGTCTCCCACCCAAGACAGAATTATTTTTTAAAAGCTAGAATTCTATGTATTCAATCTATTCAGAACATGATATTATACGTTTGAACCACTTATATAATTAGATTACAGTGGTTACGTAGAATTGCTTCTGACTTGTGTGATCAAAACCTTCAAAAATAATTTAGAACTTTTGTATTTAATTCCAAAATTCCAAATGTATTGAACAAAGATCAGTTATATATCGTTTTATTCACAAAACATGTTTTTATCTAATAAAATGTTGTGCTTAAGTTCATATTTGTAGGCGTTCGACTTACAAAAACAACTTTTTCCCTTCTCACAGCACTTCCCATTTTATTTATATAACAACTTTTTTTTGTTTGACGTCATAAAGTATGACTCAGACATTCAAAGCTTCATTTGATTGTTATCAAATGTAAAAAAAGAATGTTGTTCAGCCATACAAACATCAAACAGTCGTCCCATTGCAGTGATCCAGGAATGTTAAGTAAATTACAGCAAGAGTGCCAATGCCTTTGATTTAAATGCTTACAATGTAAAGCCGAGTTAAATTAATAAATTAAAACAAACTACAAAGAGTCATTCACAAGGAATCCTTCTCTGTTCTATTCGAATACATTAGCATTTAGAAAGAAAGCATTACTCAAACTAAATGACAAAATAGGGTGGGTGCAGGGGGGTTAGAGGAGTTCTCAGGCAGATGCATGGAGATGACAGACACAACCAAAACAGGCTATAGAGAACTGCAAACTGCTTTTTACACGTTGTTGTCTTGGCAACACAGACAGGATGAGTCAAGCGGCACTTAGTGGCCGCCAATGCCCTGAATCTCCTGGCTGGCCTCTCTTTCTCTTCCTCACACACATTCACCTGTGCGTGGGACAGCAGCAAAGTCCCTGCTGATCCTATTAAGCAGCAAGCAAGCCAACCATGCAAACACACACAGGCACACGTAGAGGTGAAACATGTCAGGTGACTCATAAGTTGTTTAGGCTATTGACAAAGTAAAAGGCAAGACGGACGAGTTCAGACATGTTGGTTAACTCATAGTGGAGGTGACCTGTTTAATATGGACAAGACCTGATCTATTAGGGCAAATTAAGGACAGGTGCGTACAGGTAAAGGCTGATGAAGGCAAGTAAGGGCAGGTATACTCGGGCAAACAATAATCATCAATGTAAGGGCTCGTACAATAGGAGGCAAGTGCAGTCAGACAGAGGCATGTAGCAGCCTGCAGAGGCAGGGCAAAGAGGTGCCTTGTGCAGATCCCTGCAAGCAGAGGCCAAGAGTGAAGCATGGAGCAGAATTCAATCTCCGAAATAAAAGCGGTTTAATCATGCTTTTTGCTCCTTTACTCATCGTTTATTGTTTTTCTTTAGAATACGTTTATAGGTTATAGAAATCAATTGAAGGTAAGACAGTTATCATGCCATAAATCAAATAACATTGAAAAAGAAAGAAAAGTTGGATTTCTTTGATCATTTTATACAGTACAAAAAAAGGATGTAAAAAATTGAAATTGAAATTGAACTTATATCGACATATGTGACCATTGGTGGCAAAAAAAGGACTCCATATATGTTGAAGTTTTTACATTTTTGAAACTCTCTTTACAACCTCTCTTGTGCGGTCCTCTCTGCTTCGTGTAATTAGTATTTGACATTCATTTTCGTTTCATATCATTCTTTTATTTTTTAAGCTTGAATTTGATTAGTTATTTTTATGTGTTTAGGGGCTGTGGGAAATGTGAAAATCCAATGATGTATATGTGTATACTTTCTGTCTGTGAACAAATAGTGTAACTTTGTCTTTTTTTACGAAAGCATTTGAAACCCACCACTGGGTTATGCGATTAAGTACAAAGTTCCTAACATTTTCATTTAAAGCCTTTAATGACTTTCCAGAACTTACCCCTGATTCAATTACACAGTTAAAGTATTGAATGATCATTGCATCACTGACCTGCAGACAGAGGAGAAGTGTTGTGGAGCTCCTGCAGGGCTTTTTCCAGTTTGTCTGCCTCCTGCTGCTGGACTAAGGCCTTCAGACTGTAGAGCTGCTTCAGGAGGGAGGTGGGCCGACATCCCCTGGCCACGCTGTTCAGAAGCTCCTCCACCGTCCCAGACAGGAGGGGCAGCTGGTCTAAACGAGAGGAGGCTGCAGGAGCACGGAAGAAAGGAGAGGTGGTCCGTTATTTAAAATGCGCTAACATCTTCATATTATATTTTCACATTGGAGCAGATTTATCCAACTGGAGCTGACAACAACAGTCATAAATTGCACTGAATATAAAGCAATTACATCTTTACCCGCAAACCGTTGCCTCAGCACTAAACTGTCTAGACTGTGTTATCAAATTAGAAAAACAAATCACCTAGGATGTGTTTTCTTTTACAGAGGCAGACTGGGTAAATGTAATGTCAGTGCAGTCTCACCATTTATTATTATTCTTCTATATTTTACGCAGCTGTAGCAGCTACTAATGGCCGAGGCTTTTATCGCCTAATGTCCAGGTTTTGTATTCTCAGTCTGCCCCAAATTCACATTTTTTACTTTTATGATATATAGAGCATTGCAACATTTGCTAAAGTCTGTTATTTTTGCTTGGTTTGATTTCAAATAAATGTTAATGAAATCAAAGCTGTTGACAATGATTACACACTGACATTGAGACATAGATACATCTAGCAACACACACTTAAGTTTTCATCTAGTTCCTTCTAATGGTACTACAATTCTAGCTATTACATTTTCATCCAATTACTGATGCTTCATTTTAGAATACTTTTCTGTGTAATTCATCCTGGCACTGTTAAAAAAGTGCAGATGTACGGTGGCATAAGTGCAATGATTACTGTTTTAATGACCACGTTTTTTGTTAGCTTTTGGCTGAAGTTAATTATGTGTTTGTAAACTACATCTTAGAAAACCATCAGTGTTGGGCATAATAGCACCTAAAATGATTGGTGTTGTTGGCAGGGTATTCATTTTCCAAAATATTACCATAAAATGAGCACAAGCCGTAGAAATGGCTGCGAGATTTATTACAGAGAATGTGTGAGACGATCTGATCCAAAAAAATCAAGCACCCCTGGCCTCAATACTTACAATCAGACATATAGATTTCCATTGTTGTCCTGAGAAAGTCTGACACCTCGGCTGCTCTCCTTTCATTATCCTCTTCCTCCTCCTCCACATCTTTTTGGTATGTGAACTCCAGAGCAGCTGCTCGGGGCATCAGACCCATGGAGAGCAGCTTCTCTTTGTGCCGTTTCTTCTTCAGCTTCCTTTTCTTGTTCTTGCTCATTTGCTCTCCTGCCTCATCCACATGTGTCTGACTCTGACCTGTGCCGGGCTCACTCACTGAAGCTGCTCCACCTTCCCCAGAGTCTTGATGAAGGGTTGGTTTCCTTTTCCTTCTTCTCTTTCTTCTTCTTCTCTGTTCTTCCTCTTTATCTTGGTCTAGTTCTTCGCTGCTGTCATGGCTGCTCTCCTCTGCAGGAAACAAGATCAAAAACTCTAGATAAATATGATTAAACTTATAAAATACTTGGCTTTCTCCTTATGGACCTCTCAGAACTATAAAAGTAAGATTTTGGAGTTCATGTCAGCGCAGGGTAAGAGTTAGCATATTTAGTACAGCTAATTCCACGAAATAAACTTCTTGTTTTTGGCTGATTGCATCTAAAAAGAACGATCAGCTTTGTGGCTATTGACTGAAAATAAATATGGCTTCAAATGGAACAAACTTATGACTAAAGGTGGTTTATAAAAGTACAGTAGAGTCAATATTCTGTATGTGTAATGTGATTTAGTACCTCTTGACAGAATAGTACTCAAAAATCATTTTATCATTGATGCATTGATTATATACAATAGTACAGTATCTGTATCTCCAACGCCTTAGGTAACAATTTCCCTTATTTTTAATCTAGCACTCCGATGAACGTGAAATAAAAACAGGGCCAACGTGCATGTTAACTTGCATTGTGCATACACACACACACACACCACATCATTAGAGCTCCTGCAGTTTTATTTTAGTTTATTTTGCTTTTGAGGTTAGTTGCTGCTAAAATAAATGCTGCCGGAGTAAGAAGTCTCTTCTCTTATGTCTTATTATTTGAACCATTAAATGTAATGTCTAGAGATTGACTGTGAGCCCATGCAGTAACAGCTCCCTCTCTCCGCCTCGCCACACCTCCCCTCTCTTTAACAAGTCAAAGAGGCATTGAGGGGTCAAAGAAGTCAGCTCCCATCCAAAAGTTAGTGACCCGTTTACGCTAGTGAGCAGCGAATAGGCTTACAGCCAGAACATGATGCAGCAGAGAGAATGGCTGTGCAATAATGACCAGAACTGAAGAGGAACTACACTGTTCAATTTAGTATATCATTGATTTTTGGACTGATTTGAAAGGCCATCCTGACAGCGCTTCACCATTTGAAACAGCCATGAGAGTATACAGAGATGTATCATTCCCGGAACATGTACACAAGAGAAAATATTTATGGTAAATTGTACTCATTCTGTCCTTTTGCGGTGGCTTAAAATAAACGAAAGTATCTCTAATCAATGTGTTGCTCAGCATATAGAAACAGATAATTGCTTCAAGTCTTGATACATGTGTCTTTAATAGCCACACCTGCCACACATTATATATATCAAAGAATTTAGTAAAAACACAAAAATAGGGATCACTTTAAGACAGAAGTGGACGCTTTGGTAGTTCAATATTTATTTTTTAATTGGAAGCCCTGTTCAGACCGCACTGGTAAAGTGTAAACACAGTAAGAAGATATATCTGTGATGCATCACAATATAATTTCTACTTGCTAACGATGTACTCTGTCTATAATATTATATTGATATGTGACTTCTCTTATGGTGCACAACCCGTGCTGATCTTAAACATAAAAACGTTTGCATTAAGGTGCTGTTAGGAAGACAAGTGCAAATAATCAAACTAAACCTAATATTTTATTCTAGTAATCTAATAATCTCTTCTGTTTCATTGAGGTAATGCAGAAGCCTGTCAGGTGGATGGAGGTTGGCATTAAGTAAGATGATGAGTACAGAGGCAGGTGTAATGAGTCTGGACTCTTATTAAAGTCTGATTATTCCAGTTGGTTCATGAAGAGACTAGAGTCTAGATGGAGCGCAGACAAAATAAACCGTCTTTAAATGATGCATAATCACTGCAGCATGGATACAAGTTTACTCTGACAAACAATCCATTCAATAGACAGATCAAAGTGAAAATCACCGAAGCACAACCACCATCTGTGTTCAAGCTCGCTTTGTTCAGAAACCCAATTGATGTCTGTTTCCCCTTAATTGAGTGGCAGAGACAATCAAGAAGAGTGACTTTATACATGAAAGTCAACCTAGAGAATCCCATGCAGTAAATCTCTCCTAGCTTTATGATGCACAGTACAAGTCCATAAAAGTACGATTATGGCCATCTTACCAGCTGGGTCCTCTGCACTATTTATGCTCTCTAACTGGGAGAGTGTGACGGATTTCTCTGAATCTCGTTTGTAGTCTGCAGGAGGAGGTAAGGCTGTGTACATCCGCCTGCCCGGATTGTCTGCACTCTGTGTCGTCCCTGCATCTGATGAAAAAGACATGAAGAATAAATTAAAGTTAAAAACGCAAATGGTAAGAGCAGCCAAGTGGCAGCAGTTCTCCGCATACCATAATAAAGATTATACATTTTAAGCAGCAATTGAAGCCAGTTAAGTGAATGTGATCTTACCAATGGCAGTGTCCTGTTGAGAGGCTTTGCTCTTCACATGTGTGTTTTTGGATAGTGCATCTACAATGCTTGGTGAGCTGGGTTCCTTCTGCTGCTTGGGAGCTGCAGGGTAAAGCCTCCTGAGCACTTTTGATTGAAATACTAGGTGAAAAAAGTAAACCAACTGTTAATGTCATACATTGTTATTGTCAAGTACTTGTCTTTGTATGCGAAAAACAATAATCCAAACTAAAAACAACAGAGGCCAGGTGCTGGCTAAAAGAAAACTAGAGCTGTGTCCAGTTTTAACACATTAAATATTAATTATCAATGTATATTGGTTTATATGTATAGTGTGATTTTTGTGTTTGTACGTTTATAGAGTATCTTGGTTTTATTACATTGAAATAGTTTACTTTGACTATAGGCTACACTGTAAAGTCTCACTAAGAAAAGAGGAACACATCAATAAATGCAATGTAAATCCGATTGTGGGTTGTATATCAAATGTAAGTTTAATATAAAGCAGGACGAATTTAAAGGAAACACCAGCTCAAAGAGCATATTTGAAATAGGTCTTATTGAAAGGCCATGTGCATGTTGAATAGATATACAAATGTATCAATGCAAGAGCAGTATAGTATTATCAATAATCCTACAACTACGAACTATTAAGACTACTTCTAATAAACCACATGTTTATATATTTCGTAAGGAACCGAGGTTAAAGGACTACATTTTTAATACATATTGTTCAAATGGTGAAATACACGAAATAACTAACATAAATAGCAACATAAACTGTACCGGATTTTAATGGAAAAGTGAAAAGCTTTAATATAAACTCAACGTATGCTACTGTTAACCATAACAATGACTTAGTATTGGACACCAGTATTGACACACGCGCACTCTGAAAACTGTAGTTAAAATCTGACAATCAAACACGTGCATTTGTTTACAACACAGCTAGAACGCACTTAACGCGAGATTTAGGCCGCTAGTTGGCTAGCTGGTTGCATGCAATTCAACAGGTTTAAGGTATTTTTCATGGGACTAATAACTTAATTTGCGACACCTGTGCTGCTCACCTTCTTTCCTACGTGCCATATTGACATAGCGTTATATATCCGAGTGGAGAAGAAGAGTGCCTACACTACAATGTAACAGCAGCTAGCTAGCTAATATGCTACAAGCTAGCTGAGTTAGCAACCCAGCATGCTAGCTTTTAACATTAGCTTGATTCATAATATATGTTTACGTCAGGCAACTGTGGAAATGTTGTGCGCTGTAACGGTCCGTGTTAAAAAAGATAATATAATGGCTAGGGTTAACTATACTTTAAAAATGTACAGTATAAGTGCAATAATGCTCGGTCTACTCCTGCTGCACTGTCCCTCTCCCCAACACCAGCTCACAGACGGGTAAGTTAGAGCTCACTAGGTAAAATGGCGCCGATTCACATTCAAAAACATGTCAATTTAATGTAACCATAGTTGTCAGAAAGGACAAGTACCTGTATATCATACTTCCATATATTGTTTTAATCGGACAAACCCACTCTACAAATCGGCATATAAAGCAGCCTTGTTCAGTTCATGTGTAGAACATAATAGCATTTTTTGGAGCTGCTCGACCAGTGTGATGAGAAATACATAATGAAATAAAACGTTTTTTTAGTGAGGCAAATTGCTTCTACAATATTAAATGGGAGACGAATTAAAATGTGACTCTTTTTACTTCAAAAACTCAAACGAATTTCACAAGCGTGTCTCACTGCCCAAGAAAATAAAGCCACATTTAGTTTTTGAACACTTTACTGTACACTGCCAACTTTCTCTCATTAGGTTTGATGAGTGCCATGCTTCAGACTAGAGCTCCCCATGTGTTTGAATCCTGCAATAACAGCGGTTTGGGGTGTGCGCACACCACGTAGGACGGGGTGGAAGCGAGATGAGAATACTAAGCAGGCACCTCATGGCTCAGCATCAGCACCGGGCTGAGTTAGGATTTGCGCACCCTCCAAACTTGGCTTGGGACCACAGCATGTGAACGGGCTTTGCAGGAAGAGGATCCACCTATGATGTCAGCTCTGAAGAAGGTAAAGCCTCTTCTGTATCTCGTATTGATCTTCTAACACATATTTAACTCCTAAAATCTGACATGTGCAGGGTTCTGACATTGTTATGTGTCATCTTACAGTAATGAGAAGATGCATGCAGTGGTGAAAGATGGGTGTGTTTAAGCATTTTGGTTGCAGGATTTTCTTAATTGGGTATGGCAAGCAGACTTTTGACAATTGACTTTTTCCTTAAAGATAAAACTGCAAACCCTTCCATAATGATTTAAACTGAATGTAATACAAACATGCACATTTATTGAAATATGTGCAGTCATCAAAATAAGAAAAAAATAAACAGCATATGTGTTTTGTATGTACATGCATTTTTTCACAACTCATCTGATTTTCCACATGGATGTAATTCCTGCACTTGAATTTATCCCTGAGGAAGAGGCATGCATGAGGAGCATTTCAGGCAGAAAAAAGCCCACTTAGTACAAGGCTAACTTCTCAAATGGTTGTTATGTCTCCCCACACTCCTCCTGGTGTGCACTGTCATGTAATACTGTATGTAACATGCCGACTGTAGTCTCTGTGGGTGTACGATCTTCACTGACTAAATGTGTCTACCCAATTGTGCTGGCAATTCTGAATGAGAAGCTTGAATCAGCTATAAAAAGAAAGCATGAGCTGTAGGTTTTGTAAGAAACAAGGGACTACCCAGACCTGTGCAAACATGTTATATAATACCTTGCAGTGGATTAGGCATTGAATAGCATATGCACAATTCCCAAAAGGCTTGTGATTGATAAAGTAATGAGACTTGTACTCCTTTGAATGTGTGATAATTGGTGTATAAATCAAGCCTTTTCTGCCGTTGGAGATGTTGCAAGATAAGAAAAAAAGTTAAGAGCCTGTTTGTGTAAAAAACTTGTCATCACTTTCAGTTGTTCTCTGACACATCGTGTTGTTTAGGATTCAGTGCAGACGCAAGTATTGATGTCTCAGCTCCAATAGATTCCCATGATTAAGCGACACAAAAAGTAAGGAAGTTGCATAGTGCCTGTCTCAGCACCGCTGCCGAATCCACAGCAAATCCACAGCATTCAGCACACACAGTGAGTGACAAAGTGCTGGCTGCCAGCACTCACAAAGTCAGACATCATAATCAGAGGTGCTAAAAATAGGAGACCATATTCATTGCAATGCTTTAGAAGCTGAGCAGAGTTTTTGCTGTTCGCCTGCGCAGATGGAAGTTTTACCAAGATGCTCCTGTATGTTGTACTCCTTCCTTCTTAATAATGCAAAACAACTTTATTTTTTAGACAGTATTGGTCCGCCAGCCTTTTTTCAATAACACCCAGATGCTTGGTTGTGCAACTGATGGACTCTTTCACTTACATACGTGCACTGAGGAGCATACACAGAAATTCCATTTTCTGCCATAGGAACAAGCATGTTTAATTCCGGGTCCCATGTTCATTTATTATGCAGGTGGCAAGAAGTGCTAAAGAGCAGTGGTAATGGCATTCAGCAGCAAACATAATTACTTGTAATCAATACAAGTGGGATTAACAGTATCTTTGTGTGTGCAGGTTTTTGTGTGTATACATTGCCTAGGTGTGCGTGTGCTATATGCATATGAACCTGAAAGGGAGGGAACCTGTGGGTGGACAAATGCAAGGCGGCGGCAACGAGAAATACATGCCTCTGTAAGACCTTATGTGACTGAAGAATAAATTACTTTTCACTTACCAGCTTCAGGGGGGAGCCCACCTTTCACCTCATCCACATCACTCGCTCTGCTTTAAAACTGATTTCAATCAAAGATGAATTATACGAGATGAAAAAATCTTTACTCAATGCTACCAGGCAATTTCCTTACTTGAAAAGAAGCCTATCATAAGCTACCACTTGCGTACAAAGAATAAAGGACAAAAAAAGCTAATTGAAAACTGACACCGCATCCCATCAGAAGAACTTTTAAATAGGTAGCTCGTTTCAGGGTATTTTCAACGCTGCTCTAAAAATTGCTTACATGACCATACAGAGTCTCACAATGTTGTGAATGGGAAGCTTGTGTGGACCTTGCCTTCTAGACAGCAACATGATAAGGCTTTCATAATCTCTTTGAAGATGCATAGAACACTTGAAAAGCTACATTTGTGCTTGTGGTGATGTCCTTTGGTGTTGGGGGAGAGAGGCAGCAGTGAATGTAGACAAGTTTGACTAAAATAACATGTTTATATCAGGCTCTCTTTTATTCCTCCACTCATCGTGACCAATGGTCTTCTCCTCTATCCTTCCGTGTACCATTCTTCTTCTGCACGATAGGAGGAAAATATGCGGCAATGTGGTCGCCAAACCAATATTTCTTGCGATAAAATAAATAAACACATTTACTCAGTTCTCCCTTTCTGCTGTCTCGGAGAAACTTATAAAATACAACACATCTGTTAAATTTGAAAAATACGAGAAAATTATTTCCAAATAATTTAATTGAACACATTGTACTTTGAGCAAAAAGTACCAATAACAAAGCAATAAAAACAATACATGTATAGTAATACCATTTCTAACAAATACTCTGTTAACTTCAGAAACCCCTGGGTGCAGTAGCACAGTCGTTCATAATGTGTTTATACTGTGCTACAAGAGGACATCCCAATCCCATCCGATTTAAATATTTTTTTTTGAATATTTTTTGCAGCCCTACTTTTTATTCCTCTTCCCTCTCATTTGAATGCATTCTCTTCCCTGCACATGCACCTTATCCACCTTCTTTCTTTCCCTCTGTCTCTCTTTTTATGTCTCTATTCCTTCCCTCTTGAATGCCCCCCCTGCACTTCTGTAATAGTTTGGCTCTAGCAGAGGGATGCAGAGGGAATGCAGGGGATGGATGGGACATAGTGTTATGAATCTAATAATGTATGAGAGCCAAGTGTGTGAGCTTTAATATAAAGCATGTGAGTCTTTGTGTGTGTAGGTATATCTGTGTATACCTGTGCACCAACACTACTCAGTTGATTGCCTTTGCACTGTGCTGGGCACGTATCTTCCAGGCAGGTGGGTGTCATTGCACATTCTCCAAGTATTACTGTCACTGAAATAACTGCCACATAGCCCCAAGTCAGATGCGACTCATTACAAGGGCCATTAGCAAGCTGGTATACAATCTGTAACCTTTCCTCTTTATTGTAATTGCACAGTCATTAATACAGACAGTTTGATCCCAGTTGGAATTATCGTCATTTATGAGGATTTTACTGGGCTGTCATTGTCAGCCAGACAATTACATTTCCATCCTAACAGCAGCTGTCTTCGGAAGTTGGCACAGCAAAGAGTGGGCTACCCATGCCTCTTGACAGCTGTATGCCTTTGAAAGTCTTTGACCTGAAACAAAAGAACATCATCTCCTGGTCTTAAAGGAATTAGAAATGTGTCCCTTACAGGCTTCTGTGTTAACACTGTTAAAATGTTAAATATGATTCCTGTCAAGTGAAAGATCGTACAACTCCAAGTACTTGATGTCCACCTTGAGTTAAAGTTGTAATACTATTACTGTTGGCGGAAGGCCCAGCTCTTTTAAAACAAAGTCTTTAGAAAATCCTTTAAACAAGCAAAGAACTTGAATAAAGTAGTCCCCTCTAGAGGAGGACATTGAAGTAGCTCATCTTTTGAACAGTACAGGTCTAAGAGATTTGATTAAGCTCCTGGGAATTGCTTACATTTCCCCGATCAAGCTGTTTAACAAAAAATACATTTTCCCTACTAGTAATACCCTGTTGATGTAAATCAATGACCCTATACTAAGCATCATATGTATTTTCGGTAAAAGTCATAAATCAGTGGTCATAGATATATTAGAGACCAACAATGGGTCATTTGCATTATTCCACTTAAACTTCTGGCATATTTGCATATTGCTGAATGATACGCCATTCATTGGTCCACCGTAGGATTTTAGGTAAAAGCTTTGAATTACGTCCAAACCTGCGAAACACGCCCCTGCACCTTCCAGATGCACCACTTGCCTCCATGCATGAGCACATGGAAGGGATCTCCACTTCTTTTTCCCCTTCATCTACATGCCTACCCATGTCTCACGTGGTGCATGTTGAGTGAAGTTAAGGTCAACGCAAACTATGAGTTAGTCATGTGGATTGTGTTTTAATGCTGTAGATTACAAACAAATACCAAATGCCATGCTGTCATTTCCATCCAGTCAAATATGGCATCTCGATATACTGCGTCAGTTTCATCTTATCCGTGTTAGTTTCCACTCAGCATGTGCATATGTTGTCTTTTCAAAATAAACTTCAGAGGAAAAAAACTGGTTCGGTTGACCAAAGTTCTTGGTTCTGGTTAAAATAAGCACATTTGTAAGATAGTTAAGTAGCTTAAACAACTTGTATACATAACTTAGAATAACCCAATGTTGACCTTTCGATACACACATGGTACTTACATAGGCGTCCTAAGTGAAAGTCCATGTGTTTTTGGACCCTCCATCCACCATGATCCTCTCCCTATGCAACTTTCACACTTTTTATACACCTTACTTTCTCCTTCATTCCCGCCATGGCCACCGTCACGTAGATTGTCATATTATTGAACATCATTGAATATGTTGTACAGTTCTGTTTGTCCTTTCTCTTTAGCCATTACTGATGGGAGTCATTACAGTGCAACTCTTATCTGGTGCTTTATCGGCACACCACTACATTTAATAGCTTGCCTGGGCAAGAAGGGAGCAGACAGCGCTTAAGGCCAACAGGATAAGCTTTGAGATGCATTGGAGTGACTCCACTTCCCATCCGTCCTCTCAGATCATTAGATCACCAAGAGTTGCTCTCTAGCTCTCAGCAGCAGATGCCCAGATATCCTTTTACACTGCTACTTGTGATAATTGCCTGTACCCAGCAGTTATAGTGTGGTTAGATGGGTAGTGAGTCTGAGTGTCTGCGTGTGGCCGGTATGTGATAATCCTGAAACACCACTGGGACAAGAGTGGTTCCTGTTGACCGGTCACATTATGC